GCGCGCACGCAGTTGTATCAGGGAAAGAAAAGCAAGAAAGGGAAGGACAAGAAAAAACACAAAAGGTCGAGCAAGGGCAAAGATCGCAGCAAAGATAAAGATGGCAAACCAGAAAGGAAGGAAACACCTCAGCAACTGCAAAAACGAATTGAGAAGGAAGAGAAACAACGCGCAGCTGAAAAGAAGAAAGAAGCAGAGAAAAAGAAAAGGGCAATCGTCCAAAAGGCTAAGCAGGCACGAAGGTTATTTAGTTGGCAGGTGTTTGACAGCATCTTTCACAGTATGCCCTTAGACTTGTTGGGTATTTGAGAAAGGCTAGGTGTGCCACCCATGCAAATTCACTGCTGATATCACAGCCAGGCTGTCAACTCGCTGAATTCCAAGATCGCTGACGCCTTGAAGAAGGAGTCTTTGCTTCCATCATTGCTTTGGCCTCAGGCAAAAGCAGCCAAGGTTGAGTGTTAGTTGCATTCGTCCTGGGTGGTGCATGGAAGAACGTAGCAAACTGATTGATCTTTGGTCTTGCCCTGAAAGGGCGAATCACTTGTCAACTTAATAAGTAGGCCATATAATACAATCATAGCGGAATTATTTGTTTTGAGGTTGGGCTCGTAAATCTGGAGAAAAAAACTAGAATGGGAACTTGAAAAGTGTCTCATTGTCCATGAGGCCGGATTCTAGTTAGCGCGCCTCCATAAGGTCTGGTGCTGTGAGGGCTGCCATTGAAGCAGACCTGAGCGTCTTCAAGGGGAAGCTCAGCAAAAAAAGGGACCACATGCAAAAGTATGTGGACGCCAACGATATTAAGGAGGGTTGAGCTGCCCGCACATGTATGAAATGGGATTGAGCCCACTCAACCAAGACCAATCGACCCCAACCTCACTATCTTGAACTTTTGGCCAGGAGGATGAGTTGGACGATAGTGTGAACGCTTCGAACAAGCTGATCGATGAGTACAAAGATTTTTTGTCGCGGAGCAATCTGAGATGATTTGCTTCCTGAGCCTAGCGACATGCTATACTTTCTTTTTCTCAGAACATGTGATGGCAACTGTGTGTTTCAATAAAAACATGTTGTTTCATGTGTGGCAAGCGCTAGTGTGAGTTTTGGCCACCTGGGCCTATCATGTACGTTGTGTCTTTCAGCTGGCGTGTGACAGTCCACACGCTGGTGTAGAAGAGCAACATAGGAACACTCTCTGGGGCAAGTACCAATACAGCTGCAGAGCTAGCTGTAGGATCGGGGTTGAACGGTTGAAAAAGAAGGCTGTCTCTCCACATCTCTCCACTCAGTAACAATAATATACCGCTCGTAGGTTGATCATGGAAGGGTTTTGAATTCTAGCCTGTGCAGGCGACTCCATTGCTACCTCATCATCGGCTACATTGACCCGAGCCATTAATGATGTCAGTTCCGCCGTTACTGGGTAGCGATAGTGGTTTCACTCTGAAAACCATCACTCCTGTCCAAACTCCGCTATCCCAAGGCTGTGCCTGTTGGCAAAGCTATGGAAAACATCCAGGCGCACGTCAAGGACCTGATGCGTAAACAAGCGTGTGTTGCTTAAGGGTCTGTGGGAAAGTCATGACACCAACACTGTGGGAAAGTCATGACACCAACATCCCCTTCAATCTCCAGGACTCGCAGGGATATTTGCAGTCAGTGCATCCTCTGGTCCGGAGGCTAGGCTCCTTGTCAATGGAAAACAAGGTCAGAAACTTCTGGATGGTTATGGACTCCGAGATGGTTTCTTTGATGCATAGGTCATAGATTGGCTTTTAAACGTTTGGCCCTACCAACCTCTCTTGCCTGTTAAATTACCTCCATGCAGGCTCGCAGCTCGCATGCATTGGCTAAGGAACATGTTCCACTCCGTAAAGTTTTGCTTCCTGTGAAAGTCAATGACAAGACTCAGAAGGCGCCAACCTTCGAAATGGCGACCTATCACCTGATGTACCCCCACGAGATTATTGCCCATTTGTTCAATTCTGGAATAAACATCGACAAGGAAGCCGTTCGACATTTCTGGAGAATGTCAAAGGCAAACCTCGAGCCATGGGCCCTGTTTTCCAAGGCTTCTGAATCCCATATACCCTTGGGGTTGTACGGGGATGGGGCGACTGTGACCTTCAGGTGCGGCAAACAAGAATCTGTGCTAGGGTTGTTCATGGACCTTCCGCTTTGGCGACCCAAAAGCGTGAGAGCATCACGCTTTCTTCTTTGTGTGATAGAAGAAGCCAAGCTTTGGAAATGGCACACCTTAAACCTCATTCTCCGGGAGGTGGTGTGGAGCTTCAACCTGCTAGACACTGGTCTTCACCCTTCAGTTGGGATGCAAGGAGGAGAACTACCACCAGACATGCTGAAGGTTGCCAACACCAACATATGCAAAAACGGAAATGTTTTCACAGTGACCGAAATCAGGGGTGATTGGAGTTGGATGAAAAAGATATTTCGCTTTCACGCTAGCTGGCAGGGTCGCAGCACTTGTCACCTGTGTGCCGCGAAGTCGGTTGGGCCATACTCTGATCGCTACTACAATTTTGAATCAGCATCCTGGGAAACAGATCGGGGTGAGTATACATTGGCTCAGTTTTTGAACACTGAAATGCCCTCTGTGGGAGTGTGTCACTTGCATTGTCTTCAGAATTGCATGTGTTCCAGACTATGTTTTTATGTTTAAATGATTAAAACCTATCACGTTGACCTCGCGTCAAGCCTTGTCGCTCGCCCAGGCCCACTGGTGGCCTTGAAGAACTTTTCGCCAGGAGTGATCCGTTGGTGCCTGATGCATGTGGTCCATTTGGGCTGTTTGTATGTGTGCAATGGGGCGTGTTTGACTTCTAGTTGCATTCAGGCTAAAGCGTTCCCCAGAACATTGTCGTCCATGGGAGGTTGACACATCTAAGGAAAATGTTATTGGATCTTGGCTACTTTGCCCCCCAAGGAGGAGACGATGTCCCACAAGCTTGCAGTAGCATACAGGAGTTTCAAAACCTGGTGCACCTCCAACAGGGTGTCGTGCAGCCAACCTCCATTCACAGAAGGATTGGTTTCTTCTTTGAATGTGTACCCTTTTATTGCGAGTTGTCACTGCGGGCCTTTGTTGTTTTTCCCTAGGCGTCAAAAGGCTATATATAAAATAAAATTAGTCCTTGGGTAAGGCATATAATAGTCGAAGCGGTTGATTTCCACACCAGCCCAGTTGATCAAGAAGCGCACCAATGATATATTGCTGACGTGTAAAGCTTTCAATGGGCGGGTGGTATGTGAATGGCTTGGAGCCTGCGTTCGGCAAGCTGCACTTGTCGACGCCTATGTAGCTGAAGATTCCAGGCTTCCTATGTGTGCAGTAGCACAGAAACTCAACCAAGATTGGGACAGGATGCACGTTCTTTAGATCTAGTCAAGTTCAGTCCCCGTTTTGTCGTTCAAGCCTATTCTACTGGCTTCCCAACCCCTCAGCTGTGGCACCGGACTGAGCATGAGGACAGAAATGGCCCGCATGATCGGCCAAATTGAGCGCGCGCCGAGATTCATGAATCTTGGGAAGCATGAGAACCGACTGGATCCATAGCATCCCAACAAGCATGAAATGAATGATATCTTTGGCGAACAGTACTGTTGATGTGCTGGATAATTGGGTTGGACTACTAAACCAGGATTTCGAAATCTATTAAATCTCAACTTCCCAGGACCCAAATGCAGGCCGATGGAATCTACAAT